AGATTATCGGTAGTTGAACAAAGTCACCATCAAGAACATGTATCCATTGCCGAGGATTGATGATTTATTTGATTAGCTTCATAGTGCCAAGGTGTTTTCAAAGATTGATTTGAGATCTGGCTACCATCAGTTAAGAATTAGGGCATCCGATGTTCCTAAGATAGCTTTTCGGACTCGGTATGGGCATTATGAGTTTCTAGTGATGTCATTTGGGCTGACAAATGCCCCAGCAGTATTCATGGATTTGATGAACCGGGTGTTCAAACCCTACTTGGATTCCTTTGTGGTTGTGTTTATTGATGATATCTTGATCTACTCCCACAGTCGAGAGGAGCATGAGCAGCACCTTCGGATCGTTCTTCAGACTCTAAAAGACAGCCAGTTATATGTTAAATTCTCAAAATGCAAGTTTTGGTTGAATTCAGTTGCTTTCTTGGGTCACGTTGTATCAGCAGAGGGTATTCAGGTGGATCCTAAGAAGATTGAGGCAGTTCAAAACTGGCCTAGACCCACATCTGCTACAGAGATTCATAATTTCCTAGGTTTGGCGGGCTATTACCGTCGATTTATGGAGGGATTTTCATCCATAGCAGCCCCGTTGACCAGATTGACCCAGAAGGGTGCCCCGTTCAGGTGGTCAGATGAGTGTGAAGCGAGCTTTCAGAAGCTCAAAACAGCTTTGACTACGACATCGGTATTGGTGTTACCCATAGGTTCAGGATCTTATACATTATATTGTGACGCATCTCGTATTGGTCTGGGTGCGGTATTGATACAGGGTGGTAAGGTTATTGCATATGCTTCGCCGCAGCTGAAGGTTCACGAAAAGAATTACCCTCTTCATGATCTAGAGCTGACAGCCATTGTTCACACGCTGAAGATTTGGAGGCACTATCTTTACGGCGTGCTATGTGAGGTATTCACTGATCATCGGAGCTTGCAGTATTTGTTCAAGCAGAAGGAACTCAATTTGAGGCAGAGGAGGTGGCTGGAGCTATTGAAAGACTATGGTATCACCATATTGTATCATCTCGGGAAGGCCAATGTGGTGGCCGATGCTTTGAGTAGAAAGTCAGTTAGTATGGGTAGCTTTGCATATATTCCAGTTGGTGAGAGACCGCTTGCATTGGATGTTCAGGCCTTGGCCAACCAGTTCGTGAGGTTAGATGTTTCCGAGCCCAACCGTGTTCTAGCTTGTATAATTGCCTGGTCTTCTTTGTTTGAGCGCATCAGAGATCGGCAGGATGACGATCCTCATTTACNCCTGAGTGGAAGTGGGAGCGTATCACTATGGATTTTGTTGTTGGACTCCCACGGACTCAGAGGAAGTTCGATGCAGTTTGGGTTATTGTGGACAGGTTGACTAAGTCAGCGTATTTCATTCATGTGGCAGTTACCTATTCCTCGGAGCTGTTGGCAGAGATTTACATTTGTGAGATCGTCCGTCTTCACGGTGTGCCCGTGTCTATCATTTCTGATCGAGGTACACAGTTTACCTCGCACTTTTGGAGGGCAGTACATCATGAGTTAGGTACGCGGGTTGAGTTGAGCACATCATTCCATCCTCAGACGGACGGACAGTTCGAGCGTACTTTTCAGATCTTGGAGGATATGCTCCGCGCCTGTGTTATTGACTTTGGAGATTCTTGGGATGAGTTTTTGCCATTAGCGGAGTTTGCCTACAATAATAGCTACCAGTCGAGCATTCAGATGGCTCCCTATGAGGCATTATATGGTAGACGGTGTAGGTCGCCAGTTGGGTGGTTNCCTAGTTTAGCAGCTGTTCATCCGATATTCCATGTGTCCATGTTTCGAAAATATCATGGCGATCCGTCCCATGTGTTAGATTTCAGCTCTGTCCAGTTGGACATGGATTTGACTTACGAGGAGGAGCCGGTGGCAATTTTAGCTCGGCAAGTTCGCCAGTTGAGATCAAAGAGTTACCCTTCAGTTCGAGTGCAGTGGAGAGGTCAGCCTATTTGAGGCAGCTACTTGGGAGTCCGAGTCCGATATGCGGAGTAGATATCCCCACATTTTCACCAGCCTAGGTACTTTTCTATGTCCGTTCGAGGACGAACGATTGTTTTAGAAGTGGAGAATGTGATGTCCCAAAAGGTCATCTTATGTTTTAGAACTCGAATTAGAGCTCTTAAGCCTTACAAATCTCATTTTTACCCTCCTCAATTTACGTGCACAGTCCGGGCAGGTTTCCGAAAAGCTTTTATGTTGAAAATTAATGAAAATAAGAATTTTTGCCTTAAAAGTTGATTTTTATTGACTTCGATCAATATTTTTAGTAAACGGGTCCGGATCCATGCTTTAACGGTCTCGGTAGATCCGTATCGAATTATGGGACCTGGGCGTATGCCCAGAATTAAATTCGGAGGTCCATAGCTTGAGTTATGAATTTTGATGAGAATTAAAAGTCTGAAAATTATTTGTTTTTAAGAATTGATTGATATTTGGCATTATTAGTATCGGGTCCGTATTTTAGTTCTGGAGCCCGGTACGGGTTCATTATGATATTTAAGACTTGTCTATGAAATTTGGTGAGAAACGGAGTTGATTTGACGTGATTTAGACGTTCAGTTGAGAAGATATAAATTTTAAAGTGTTCTTGAGAATTTCATTTGATTTGGTGCTAAAGTCATAGTTCTAGGTATTATTTTGGCGATTTGATCGCGCGAGCAAGTTTGTATGATGTTTTTAAACTTGTGTGTATGTTTGGTTTGGAGCCCCGAGGGCTCGGGTGAGTTTCGAATAGGCCACATGATGTTTTGAACTTAGAAAATTTTATTGGTATAACTGAACCTGTTGCAGGCCTCTGATCTCACAATTGCGAGATCAGGCATCGCAAATGCGAACATAACAGGGTCTGCAATTGCGAGGCTTTCATCGCAATTGCGATCAGAAGCCTAGGCCAGCAGTTCTCGCATTTGCGAGGTTACCTTTGCAATTGCGAAGAGAGTCTCGGAAGGGCAGGTTCGCAAATGCGAACATCTACTCGCATTTGCGAGGTCCAGTGGTCGCAAATACGATACTTTTCTCGCATTTGCGAAGGCAGCGGGATTGTGAAGGGTATCGCAATTGCGATTGTTCCTTCGCATTTGTGAAGCTCAGGTCGCAATTGCGACACCTGCAGCTGAGTAAAAAGGGACTTAGACGGAATTTTTCATTCATTCTTCAAATTTTCAAGACCTAAACCTCAAGGGGCGATTTTCCAAAGACCAATTCTTCCCCAAATCATTGGTAAGTGATTCCTAACTCATTTCTTTCAATCTTTTACATCTTATAACAAGATTTCAACCTAGAATCTAGAATTTTTATGGTGAAATTAGGATTTTTGGGCAGAACTTAGGAATTTCAAAATTTGAGTATTTAGACCTTAATTTGAGGCCGGATTTCAAAACTAATTATATATTCGGGCTCGGGGGTGAATGGGTAAACAGATTTTGGTCCGAACCTCGAATTTTGACTAAGCGGGCTCGGAGTTGATTTTTTAACTTTTTGGAGGAAAATTTGGGGAATTTAATTTATGCAATATAATTGATTTCTTAAGCAATATTTGATATTATTGAGTCATTTTTGAATAGATAAGAGTGGTTTGGAGGTGAATTACAAAGGAAAAGATGTGATTGAGAATTAAGTAGCCTTCGAAGCGAGGTAAGTGTTGTGTCTAACCCTGACTTGAGGGAATTAGGAATCTTAGATTACTTGCTAAGTGAAATTCATGTGAGCGGCGTATATGTGAGGTGACGAGTACTTATGCGCCGCCAATTTACCTGTTTTCCATGTTTCTCAGTTTTTCTTATATTGTCTCATTCCTATGCCTAATTGCTATGTGTTATACTAGTGTTGTTCAATTGATCGTTCTTATCATGTTTACAGATTTTCTGGTGATAATTGAGTTTTTATTTTAAAGTTGAGATTGATGTTACGGAACCAAATGTTGAAGTAAGGTTTGTACTTGTTATTCTATCTCCCTGTTGTTATTTATGCATTGCATTATGGTAAGGGAGAGTATTAATGCACGAAGGGTGATGCCATGCAATATTGTGAGTGTTAATGCACGAAGAGTGATGCCGTGCCATATTGTGAGTGTTAATGCACGAAGGGTGATGCCGTGTCATGATATGAGAGTTAATGCACGAAGGGTGATGTCATACCGTTTCTATTAATTTTATGGTGAGATTGAGAGTAAAAGCACGAAGGGTGATGTCGTGCATTTTTCCTTACTGTATTCACTATTCATGTTGATTCCTAGTATATTGACTGCTCCGGTGATCATTCTGTTGTAGTTCTTTATCTTGCATTCCCCTCAGTATGTTCCCCTCCCAACATTTCCTGTTTAGTTCTTCTTTTTTGTGATTTGTATATACACTATTAAATTGTACAAGTTGATTTGTAGAAGCCTTTCCTTAGCTTCGTCACTATTTCGTCGAGGTTAGGCTCGACACTTACCAGTACATGGGGTCGGTTGTACTGATACTGCACTCTGCACTTTTTGTGCAGATTTTAATACCGGCTCAGGTTGATCGAGATTTTTGCTATTGATCCACTGTCCGGAGACTCAAGGTAGATCTGTCGGCGTTCACAGACCTTGAAGTCCCCGTCTATCTTTTCTGTTCTACTGTTTCTTTCATTCAGACAGTTGTATTTCTTTCAGACTATTACTTGTAGTAAATTCTAGAATGCTCGTGAATTGTAACTCCAGATCCGGGTGGTAGTAATTAATACAGTTTTATGATATTCCGCACTTATTATATTTTATCTTAGTTAATTATTGTTAATTAATGAATGGAAATAAGGAATCGGTTTAATGATTCTCTAACGTTGGCTTGCCTAGCAAGTGAAATATTAGGCGCCATCACGGTCCCGTCGGTGGGAAATTTCGGATCGTGACACCTTACTTGGCTCCGCCACTGTTTGCAGACGTGTCATATTTCGGAAAAATAGCCGAGGCACATAACTAACTCATGGCATTTGTGCTATTATTTCAGAAGAAACAACTGGAAAGGGCGCTAAAATTGCTCCATCCTGTGCAGAAGAAACAACTAAAATGGCGTGCAGAATTGAAAATATCGGCTCCTAAGGTATGGAAATTAAAACATTTTGTTCAACTGAGTATGATTACTTAGCAGTTAAGGAATAAATATGCAGAGATAATAAATTCATGAAAATACTCTAGCTTCTTCTTATTGATATTATCCTTTGTTCTTTCTAGTTTTGCATGTTATTTTGCATGATATTTCATCCTTCTTTGCATTGATTATTATATTTAGGCCAAAAGGTTACCATATGCATCGGGGGCGTTCGCAAGATTTCTTATAAGCGGTGTCGATATTACATAAGAGTGTATAACAAAAAAACATCAATTATCACATTTCTAAATGAGTAATAGTGTTAGTGCATTATTTTTGTGGAGTCATAAGTTAAAATCGATCATGAGTTCAACTCTACTTAAGTAACAACGCCCCTTTCCCTTTCCCCTGCATAAGTACCAATGCCCCTTCCCCTTTCACCTCTAGTAATTCCGGCACTTTTTGTTGTAGCCTCCCTTCTTATTTGGTTCAAAATGTACGAAGACATGTGACTCGTAATGTTATTCTAAGATACTAATAAAATGAAAGTATAAAATGTTCACTGCTAATATAGTAATATTGAGAAAAAAATGCAGATCATTTTGGAGTTTTGATTTTTTTTTCCTCTTTTTTGTTTTTGGCCAAAAGACGGTGAATAAGTATACGAGAGTCTTGAAGCAACGGTAAAATTGTATTACTGTGACTTATAGGTCACGAGTTCGAGCCGTGGAATCGGTCACTGATACTTGCATCAAGGTAGACTGCCTACATCAAGGGTGTGGTCCTTTCCCGAATCCTACGTAAACGTGAAATACTTTGTATATCGGGATGTCCTTTAAAGAACGTGGAAAAGTGTTTGGAGCAAATATTTTTAGAACAAGTAGTTATTCTCTTTTTTTTTGGTTTTTCACCCGATGTTCGGTATCCGCATTGAAGTTCGACTATATTCGGATTCGCGCCGTGTAAGCCTCATTCGGGGAGAAGCGCTCCCTACCAAGTATTTTTCCGTACCTAGGGCTCGAACTCGATACCTCTGATTAAGGGAAGAGCTGTGACATCCAGTGCACCACATCCTTTGGTGCTAACAAGCAGTTGTTTTCAATTCAAAGTCTTTTGTGTTTTTTTAAACTAAAACCTTTTAAGTAGTTTAATTTCATCTAGTTTTGGGTCGTGACAATTTATAATCCCCTCTTCTTTTCATTCTATTTAGTATCAGAACTGCATGCAACCAATATTAAAAAATATTAATCATATCAAATTGTAATTTATTTTTACTCTAGTAAATAATTAAAGAGGTAAATAATGGAGTATAATTAAATGTCAAAGGAAAATAATTAACTTTTAAGAAAAACAAGAACAAGGATGACAAAAGAAAAGATCTAACAATAACAAAACCAACTTCTCTGTGTCCTCTCACATTTCCCCCTTTCTCTATTGTAGCCGAAACCCTAATTATCTTCGTTTACCCGATTCTCTCTCTTTACACACACACACACACACACACAGAGTTCCTTGCTCTTCTCTCAAAATCGAGGATTTCTCAGCTTCAAAATCTCTCCAATTTTCATTTTCAGGCTACTATATGCACATATAAATATAGTAGCAATAAATTGATATATACGTATAGTTGTAGAAGAAATGTATAGAGATCGAGGAGGAGGAGGACCGTTGGATCGGAAACGAATCAATGATGCGTTGGATAAGCACTTAGAGAAGTTATCACCGTCTACATCTAGGTCTTTGAAGGATAAAGCTGTTCCGTCTACCTCCGCCGCCGGTGGTGGTGGTGGTGGTGGTGGAAAATCGCATTTTGATCATCGCAACACCAGCAAAAACAAGTGCTCTGATGGTTAGTATCTTTTATTAATCATCTTCCATTTTAGAAAGTATTGGATTTTGCCTTTATTAGGGTAAAAATGTAGTCTTTAGTGGTTAATTAGAAGATCCACAAGCTGTTTTGCTTTAACATGTTTTAATTAATAGATACGTGATTGTGGAAGTAATTGCTGGATATGAACTTTTAAGGCTTTAGGTGTGATATTATAATACTATGGTTTTTAACCACATTCTCCGTCCCATTTTATGTGACAATATTTGAGGGGGCATGGGTTTAAGACATATAGAAGACTTTTGAAATTAGTCGTTAAGGCCATAGACATTTGAGTGGGTATAAATCATGTCACGAAAGGTAGAATTGGAAGTTTAAAGCTAAAATTGTCTCCGATAAGAGATAGGTGTTATTCTTTTCAGGACAAGCGAAAAAGGAGTCACATAAAATGGGACAAAAGTTTTTCTTTTTTAGTTGGGAATAATGGTTTCCAACTGTTTTTTGTCATGTTCAGAAGCTTGAAAGATATACTGTTGCCATTTTTGGTGTTTGCTGTAAATTGTTTTTTTAATCCATTTTCTTTTGTATTTATGGGGGAAATTAGTTTAACAACTGATCAACACACACTATATATGTTGAGGGGCGTCTTTGGCTCGTTTTTGTTGTTCTTGTACTAAAGTTGCTTTCATTTTCGTTTCTCTGTAATGATGCACCCGTTTGGAAGTAGTGGAAATATTCCTTTAATCCAAAAAGCAGCATGGAATGAATTCAGATATAGTTTTATCTAGTCACATAGCATGAACATTGAAAAAATTAGTGTGTTCCGAATATATACTTATTTTGCTTGTGGTTCTCTCTGGATGTTTCCAAACTGTATTTCAGATATTCCTAGATTCTCAGCACGGCGATAGAAAGATTATCCCTGTGGTTTCATATGTAGTTTTTCGGTTGTCACAGNATTTTTCTGGTTGTCACAGTCAATTCTTGCTAGGGGTTTGCAAAGTTGATTTTTTTTTAATTAAAAAAATCGTCTGTTTTGTGATGTGCAACCATAAGTGCAGGCTAGACTTTTGTGGTCTTTTTATTCTAGTACTGGTGAATACAACTTCTATGTCATGCCATTGTAATCTAGTATGGAATGAGTTTTGAGGTTAAGATTGAATATTCCTATGGTATATTGCCATAACTTATTAACAGTATTTGCCATTTTTTCTGAATTATTTATCTGTAACTCAGCCTTTTATGTTTTAATTTAAAAGAAAAACTTCAGCTGTTTAAGTAGAGTTGTTTGTCTTTTACTTATGGTTGGTTCTTGATGTTGAGTTGTGGAAAGCTTGTAGCAACATCTTTCTGAATAAAATAGCTGTTTATGTCTTCTCGAGGTGCGTTACCTTTTTGGGTATAGCTTGGCATACTATGCTGGCCTACCTAACTCACTATTTTCCTTGCATTTCAAATGACGCGAGTACATTCTCATGTTTATGTATTTTGTAGAGGAATCTGAAACGGACAGTGAAGAGTCTGATGTTAGTGGTTCTGATGGGGATGATACTTCATGGATTTCTTGGTTTTGTAACCTGCGTGGTAATGAGTTCTTCTGTGAAGTTGATGATGATTACATTCAAGATGATTTTAACCTCTGTGGATTGAGCAGTCAAGTTCCCTACTATGACTATGCGCTTGACCTCATCCTTGATGTTGAATCCTCCCATGGTATGTATTCTTTCTCTTGTTTAGATTACTTCATATTTTATGATGAATTTCCGAAGATTGATTTTGGACTTACTTTTCAGTTGAAGGATGCAATTTTCTTGTCTTCTGAAACTATAGGGTTCGCTGTTTTATTTCCTATGGACTATTTTGACAAATTGGTATCTTTAGTGAAGTAAACATGTGGAGAACTGGTCAACTTTACTTGATATATTTTAGGTTGTTTGGAATAACTTCTTATAAAGGCTGGGAGAAACTAGTGAAAGTTTCCTTATAAAAAAAAAGAAAAAAGAAAAAAGAAAAAAGAAACTACTGAAAGTTAATTTTGAGTCGCATTCTACCAGGTTATCCAACTGGTCTAGGCTTATCCATCTTATAATGACATGTATAAATGCCCATTTGTAGATATTTGGGTGAATTTTATTGTTAGGATCATCTTATATCCGTTTGTCCAATAGTAAGTTTTTGGAGGAATGTATCCTGTCATTGTCCGTGTTTGATGTGACATTCATGCCGAATAGCAGCAATTCTAAATGAAGCCATTGAATCATCTAATCGATAGATATAAATAACGGTGCCCCTATGGCTCATTCTGTCTTGTATTCTATTGCCCATCTCATTGAAAATTATAAAAATCAACCACCCATGCTTGCCCAGGAAGAAAAGATGGAAGGGGGGAATGTTCTGTTTACGTTGTTTAACTACCGGTAGAAGCAACAACAACCCAGTAGAATCCCACTAGTGGGGTCTGGGAGGGTAGAGTGTACGCAGACCTTACCCCTACCCCGAAGGGAAGTGCTGGTAGAAGCAGTTTCTTTAAAAACAAAAATCTCAAAATAATGACAAGGTTCATGGGGCTTGAAGCAAAAAACTTGAAGTTGAGCGCATGCTTCTTTGGAATGAAGCGCACAGTTCACGGCATTAAAAGAATACCAAACATATGCGGAATTTACTCAATTTAGTACTACAGTGATCAAACTGCAATTGAAATAACTATTTTCCGTATTCAGTGTACAATAAATATCGATATTAATCCAACTCCTCAAAATTGAGATTCAACAAACCCATCGCTTTTGGTTAGGATCACCTTGCACGTCTTTGTTTGAAGCGTTCACTTATATGAAATACATGACTTCACCCATAAAGTGATAACCCTTCGTGTCACATTGACGAAACGATGGTTTTTAATAACACGGGATAAAAAGAGCTCTTTCTTTTCAATCAAGGAATAGGGCACACCTTTATGAAGCACATGATTTCACCCATTAAGTGATAACCCTCGCTTCACATCACTTAATTGCTTTAAGAGACAAAATTATGGCTTTTGATGACATTGGGTAAAACGAGCTGCTTCTTTTCATTCAAGAAATCAATTTTTTCTGGTATTATGGTAGTTTTGCATTGAGATAACGTCATATACTTTTTTCGTGCCCCCCTTTTTTCGTNCTTTCTCGATTTAGTCTCTTCTGATAGGAAATTTTTATTTTTCTAAGCCAGTTTATATCTTATCGATTCCAATTCTTAATGACTTGCAACAACAACAATAACATACCCAGTGTGATCTGGGGCGGGTAGAGTGTATGCGGACCTTACCCCTACCTTCTTAATGACTTGCACTAGAGAAAAAATACATACCATGGGAGGATTTATGTTTGTATCACCAATATATAATTTAAATCAAATTAATATCTTAAAATATGTGTCCAGTCAAATACCATTACATAAAACAAGAGGGTATAACTAAAACCACGAATTGATTATGATACCCCCCTTTTTTGTGTAATTCATATGATGCAATTGGAGCTATCAGCAGTAACAATCAATTTAGATATCCAAAACAAAATAGTGGTATTTGCTAGCAACAACTTGCTCCACCGAAAAATAACACGGGGCCCAACGTTGAGAAATACAATAACAATGGCTCTGATACCATGTGAACAAATGAGGGGAGGATTGCCAAGACCATGTAAGGAGATCACAACCCATTATGCATCTTTATGTAGATTCCTTTTTAGGAACTCTTGGAGTTCGATGCTATCAATATTTCTTTTTGTTCTTGAGAAATTTAAATAATCGAAGTGCTTTTCTTAATTATTAAATGTGAAGTGCTATTTTCTTTTGCAGTTCCTTCTTTTGTATAAAACATTACAAGTTATCCTTCTCTTTTCTTTGAGGGGGGTTGGGGTGGGTTATTGGAGTTTTGATCTGTTTCAATGAGCTCTTACCTAATTCTGATGCTTTGAAAATTTGGTATATGTGATGCTTTGAATAGTCTGTTGCATGATCTAACAAGTTCTCTGTTCCAAGTCTTGGATCTGTTTTAAGATAATAATGCCTGAGCTGAAACTATAAGTTGCTCCGACATGGCAGTTTAGGTGCCGCACCCGTATCGACACGACACTAGTATGGGTGTGGGTATGGGATCCGTACCTGATCTGATCAAACAATTTTGGGTACTTTGACCACGACGGACGGAAATATTCGAGATGAGATACAATTTGATTCCCTAAATCAAAACCAAAACTAGGGCAAATTTGAAAAAAGTATACCTTATCTAGGAAATTAATCATTTACTTATCTACAACTTGAGAATAAAAAAGAAATCCACTTGACAAGCTATACGTAAGTATTCCACAAAATTTCTCATAATTTAGAAATATTTTTATATTTTTGAATTATTTTTAGCCGAATCCCCGCACCCGTATCCGTACTAGGATCCGTATCCCCGAATCTTAGAATTTACATCTTGAAGGATTCGACCTCTAGATCCGTACCCGTGTCCGAGCAACTCAAAATATCTCTGCTACCAGTACATCCTTGGAGTAATGGTGGCAAATCAAGCTATTTGATCATTTATTTATAGTTTATGTTTTCACGCTAGAAAAACAACCTACATGATAATCTAAGTAAACTTCTGTCTCTATGTAATGGCAACCAAGAATGTTGTCTGATATCCAAGATGCAGCAGTATCATCTTTCATATTAAGACAATTGCAGTTTGTCAAAATTTTCCTGCATTGAATAGGTGATATGTTCACAGAGGAGCAGAATGAATTAGTTGAATCGGCAGCAGAGATGTTATATGGTTTGATTCATGTTCGGTACATTTTGACTACCAAGGGAATGGCCGCAATGGTAATTTCTTATCACCATTCTCTTGTATACTTTCACATTTTCCTCCTCTTGATCTTCATTACTGTTTAACCTATCCTTGAAATGATGGTTCCTTATATCTGTGCCAAACCTTGAAATGATGGTTTCTTATATCTGTGCCAAACCTTGAAGTTGGAGAAGTACAAAAACTACGACTTTGGAAGATGCCCGCGAGTTTATTGCAGTGGACAGCCTTGCCTTCCTGTTGGTCAATCAGATATTCCACGCTCAAGTACTGTAAAAATATACTGTCCCAAGTGTGAGGACATTTATTACCCCCGATCAAAGTACCAAGGCAGTATCCTTTTCTGCTACCACTTCTTGATATGCCCCCCCCCCTCCACACACACACACACACGCAATATACACACACACACATATACATTTATGTGTGTGTTTATTAGATGTATTATTAGTTTTTTTCATCCATATATTTCCTCTAATAGCAATTATGTTTTCTCAAAATCTCTAATGCAGTTCATGCTTATGTTTGGTTGAGCTGCATCCAATTTACATAAGGATTCTGTCCTTGTAAGTTGCATATAAATTTTGACATTAGGTCTGCTCATAAGTTGCATATTGGTCCTTGTTCGCTTGCCGTGAGTAGCCTATTTCTATCCTTATAGGTTTCTTTAACTGCTAAAGATATTGATGGGGCTTACTTTGGGACAACATTTCCTCACCTCTTCTTGATGACTTATGGACACCTCAAGCCGCAAAAACCAACGCAAAATTATACTCCTAGGGTGTTTGGTTTCAAGATCCACAAGATTTGACAGTGAAGCCGTTGTGATGTTGTGAAGAGATCATATTTTCTGCCAGTAATGATTCTTACCTGGCTTTTGATGTACAATTCGTCATGGTAGAGGCAGTTGAAGCAGAGGAGCTCTTGATAATGATGAAAGATTGTTCTTCGTCGATGAAAGGCAGCTTGGGCCAATCTGTCAAGTGAAATTTGTTCCCAAAATATCGTCGTAAATTTACAAGAGCTTTTGTAAGCTTAATTCTTTATCAGTTTGAGAATTGATTTATGTTTCCCCATCAACCACTTTTCGTGGCTGTCCGTTGATCCTTTCATTTTGCTTCAGAACTTATCACTACCATTTTCCAACAGAGGTACTTATCAGGATTCTAGACTAGTGTACGTTGGGGTTTCGCCCTTCTTTGTAGGACAATTTCCAGTTGTAATGATGTGATTGTATTGAAATCTTGAGGCAGGCGCCCTTCTTTATGTTTGCATTTTCTTTTTCTGAATTAACGTATATTTGAAATATAACAACTCTGGCTTGTATGCAAACGAATGGATTAGGTGCCAAACGTGTTTAGGGAACAAAAATTGAAGGCCAAATACCCATTAATAAATTAACCAAACTCCAATTCAAATTAACCAAATATAGAGAAGAAGATGAAAGAAAATGAAGCTAATCTAACAAGAGATTAGTGAAGAACAAGCAAAGATAACAAAATGAACACAAAAAGAGGGATGTGTGATGGAAGAGAAAAATGAGGAAGAAGACAAGTAAGATGGTGTTAGAGAAAAAGGAGATGGTGGTAATTTTGTTTAGCTATGTCAGCGTAACACAGACTATTCACGTGCTCAAATACAAGTAAGAATCACTTTTTTTACAATGTCAGCGTTCCTGTTTAATAGACACATATGAAATAAGGTTGAGTGTACAATAAGTATTTACATTAGTTGAGATGTCAAACTGAAAATTGGTGCCTAAGTTAAGTAGCTGTCTACGTATTTGGCCAAAAGTAAAAAATTTTGTACATCATTTTTGCTGGACATGGCTTATGATGTTTTTACAACGAAACATAAGTTCCATATATGGCAACAAAAGAACCTAAAACTATAATCACCCCAATAAATATGACTTCTATCCCAACATTTCTTGAGTAAGGCTTCCTGATTTTGAGATAGCAGATACATGGAAACAATATTGACAGACTAATGCCCGTAAATGCGCCTATAAATGTCATGACATATTCGAAAAATGGAACGACTAATGCAACAACTGTGCTGATGACCAAAACTGTTCTGATGAAGTAGCTCATAGGTTTACTCTTAACAACAACAACAATAACCCAGTATAATCCCACTAGTGAGATCTGGGGAGGGTAGTGTGTAGGCAGACCTGGGGAGGGTAGTGTGTACGCAGACCTTACCCCTACCATGAGGTAGAGAGGCTGTTTCCAATAGAAACTCGGCATCCTTCCCTCCAAGAACTCCCCACCTTGCTCTTGGGGTGACTCGAACTCACAACCTCTTGGTTGGAAGTGGAGGTTGCTTACCATCAGAGCAACCCCTCTTGTCTAGGTTTACCCTTGCGACAAGGAAATGTATCTTCAATGGCCATTACAATAGGTGAGACAATAAGAGCGTACGCGTACTTGGTTATTGGATTAATTATCGCCGTGTATATTGCAATCTTCGAACTAACTTTTCCAGTGGGGAGATTTAAGGTTACTTGTGACAATAAATTTTGTCCGTACATATTAAGTACCCAATTATTGCCATTGATCCATAAGTGATGGTGCTTAGTATGAAACACAAGAGTAGAACCTGTTGACAAAAAAAAGAAAAGTAGATTAGGGCAAGCTGCTAAATAAAGCTAGATGAATTATCTCTACGTGTAGTACATAAGAAAATATAGTAATTAAGGGTTTAAACTTTAAAGTTTCCTTTTTTCAGTTTCATTATGGACCTTTATAAGTTGAAAATTTTCCAAAATATCTGGTATAAACAGAGGTAAAACTGTTGGACAGTTATGAAAGTTCATGTTGGAACTAAAAATAGCAAATTTGACCTTAAAAACTTTTCCTATAATCTTAAAACTCCAAGAAATTTTTGTCCTATTTATAATTTATAATTCTTATCACATAATAATCGATGTAATCGAAATTTTAAGGTATAAGACACCATTAATAAGGTTTTCGGCACAGTTTGTGGCTGGCTATAGTTCATAAAATCAACTTAATAAGTAAAAGTTTTAGTGAAATATTTAAACTAGTTGCATTTGTTTAATGGGTGGATCTGTCTCTGCCCTCTTTTTAAGTAAAAAAAATTGCTTAATTGAAGGAATCCTCTCTAGTCAAAATATTAAAAGAAGTTTTAAACATTTTGAAGCAAACGCATTGCAAACTCAACTTATTTTAAGTTTTTGCTAAAAATGTTTGTTCTTCACTACTTTTGCAAGAAAGAGTTAAACTCAAAATTTTAAATCTTAAAAAAGGAAAATACTAAGTGTGGAAACAGATTAAACAATCTTTTTAAAAAGTGAATGATACTTTTTCTATTCCATTTTATACACCAATCTTTCTTCTTCCCTTTTTTTTAAAAGACAGATGTCACCTTTCTATATTAAAAAGTGATCTTTAACATGAAACTTTATATTTTAACTTTAATGGCATAATCTTATAACCTTAGAAATGTGATAGCATGTTTATGTCTTTAATATTTTACTTTGAAAATTACATGTTATCAAAAAAATTACCTTGAGAAATTGACTCTTGTCCTTCATGGAATTGCAAAGTGTAGGAAAAACTGCATGACCACAATAACAAAAGGTGAACATACTTATTGCAGTTGCCAATCCACTCCATTTCCAAAGTATACCTTTCTCTTGAAAACCAACACCATCTACTGCACCAATCCAAAAAACTACACAAACTAAAAGAATAGAGGCCAAAACTCCTCCAAGAGAAACATAAGCCAATAACCCTAAGCTTCTTAGCCATGTTGTTGGCAATATTATAAGAGCAGCTAACATGACAAATGTTTCTTTTCCTCCAATTTTAAGGTCACCAATATGAATATTTGCATTTGGGAATAGCTTTTGCAAATTGTCACCTTCTAATATGAGAAACTCAATTGCAACTAAGTATAGTTCAAGATACATAAAAGTTGATATTATTATTCTTCCTTTTTTTTCCAAAAGCAAATTGACCAATGTCAGCATAAGTATTTATTGCTTGAGAGGCACTCATGCATTTTTGTAAAAGTAATCCAGTATAGCAACATAGAATTGCTACCAAGAAAAGTATTATCAAACTTAACCATCCTCCTTCTGAAAGTGCATAAGGTACCGATAGTATTCCAACACCTATATAAAGAAAGAATATATGAAAAAGAAGAGTATAAGTCTGATGCACTCACGATGGTGTCAAAATACAACATGATGCACTAAGCTCCCGCTATGCGCGGGATCCGGGAAGGGTCGGACCACAAGAGAGTCTATTGTACGCAGCCTTACCCTGCATTTCTGCAAGATGCTGTTTCCACGACTTAAACCCGTGACCTCCTGGTCAAATGGCAACAACTTTACTAGTTACGCCAAGGCTCCCCTTCAAAAATTGTAATGCAATTAGGTCAATTACAAGCTAATTAGAAGCAAACATATTTAATAAATATTAGTTGATAATATGATAAAAATGATATTTATTATTATTAAATTGATGGTGTAAAAACTATTTACTTGTTATTAACATGCAATATATACACATATATAGTTAACTTAAATCCAGAGAGAAATAATGTAGACGTTAATGATATATTTTGAGCCAATAGTAAATCAAGAAAGCAAAAATAAAAATAAAAAATCATAGTAAGCGAAATTCCAAATATAATAACAAGAAATTAAGTGATTATTACTTCTTTCTTCTGAAAAATAATGAGCATTAACCTGATAGCGCATTAACACCATTCAAGCATGTCCTAAAGAAAGAGGTTCCTTTGCTAGGCTCCTCAGATTGTGGGATCTGATTTTGACTCTCAATTCTCTCCACATTATGGGATTCCATATTCTCTAACTGCCCAAAGTGTTTGTACACTGAGTTTTTGTAGATTAATAGAGAAAGAAAGATATATTTTGCACACTGTGTTTTTGTAGATTAATGGAGAAAGAAAGATATATACTTTAAATGTTAAAAAGTTACTTTTCACATGCAAAGAGGATCTTGCAAAAATATATTGGAGGAGATATGGTCAGTTACATTAGAAGCATTCAAATATATACCAAAAAAGAGAGGAGGAAACGTTCAATTTTGACTAGGTTTTACATTGTGGGTTTTTGCCCTTCTTTGTAAGAAAATTGCCAACTGTAATTATGTGATAGTATTAAAATCGTTTTCAATTAACTAATGATGTATGCCGATACATAAATCTACGAGGCAGACAACCCTTCTTCATGTTTCTATTATCTTGTTCGAATTATGTTTTATTCGAAATATAACAAGGGGTGTTCATCGGTTGGATTAATAATTCTTTTTAGGTATTTTGGTTCGATATTTTAGTATTCAGTTTCTAGAAATGTTATAAAACTATCATATTTAAATTAATTTAATTTAGTATGACTCGATTTTTCCCCTTTCGATTTTAATATATTCTGTTTAGTAACTTTGGTTAGATCCTCTTGGATAGAGAATTGTAACTTTAAGTTTTTTGTTGTTAAAAGGTAAAAAAGAAAAGTTCTAGAGACGTCCGTTAGTCCGAACTTCGAAATGGAAAGGTTATCCAAGCTAAAGATGTTTGCATTTTCTTTTTTGAATTATGTTATATTTGAAATATAACAACTCTTGCTTGTATGCAGACGAGTGGATTAGGTGCCAACAATTTTTAGGGGACAAAAAATAAAAGCCAAGTACCCATTAATAGATTAACCAAAACCCAATCCAAATACCAAATCTAGACAAGCAGATGAAAGAAATTTAAGCTAATTTGGTAAGAGGAGTAAGATGGTGTTAGAGAGAAAGGAGATGCTGGTAAGTTTGTTTAGCCATATCAGCATAACATAGACTATTCACGCGCTCCAATACAAGTAAGAATCACTTTAAGTACCCCATTGTTGCCATTAATTCAAAAGTGATGGTGCTTTGTATAAAGCACACGAGTAGAACATGTTGAAAAGAAAAAGAAACGGGGATTGGGGCAAGCTGTTAATTAAAGATAGAATGAATTATCTTTATGTGTAGTGAGACATGAGCGGCTAACAGAACTTGTAGCCTAAATAAACCTTAATAAGAGGTCTTAAATAAATTTAATAAAATTAACTTTTGTGTGCACCGCACGTGCATCACACGTGCATCTCGTGCGGCACTCGTGCATCCCGTGTTAATAAATAAATAAATACTTTTTAAACATCAAATATATTTGTTAAAATACATGTATGAAGTATAAAGCAAAACTAAGAGGAAAAAACTATAAGTTTCAAAATGATTATATATATATA